GGAAAGCATTCAAGGAAGTCCGCGGCAGGCTTGGAAGGGTAAGGCCCCAATGCCTGCCTCCATGCATCACAATTTAAAATTCTAGGCACTGTTGTTTGGTGGCTCAGTTACGTTTTCAAGGACTCTGCGGGGTCTGTTGTTTAATTTTTGATAAAAGCCAAGGCAGTGAAGACATTACCTCATGTTTCTGAAAATAAAAAAAGCTCCGGAAATCTAAATCAAGGACACAGGGCTACCGGAACCTCGAATTGCTAATGCCTAGCTCATCTACAAGGGAAAAATACGGGACCTTTTAAATATTTATTTCATAAATAAGAGAGAAACGTGGCAAGTGGGGGAGGGCCTGACCCGAGCCCCATGTGCTCGGCGGGAGGAGGGGCCCGGCTCGGCGCTCCAACGCAGGGCCGTGTCCAGGGTGTTCTAAGGGACAGGAACACAGGCGAGACACGGCGGCGGCCTGGCGGTTCACCCTAGCCCCAAATCGAGGTGCCCCTGAGCAAGTTACCCTAGAGGGGCCATGAGGCCGAAATGACGGCTTCAAACACTGAGGGTCGCCCTATCCAAAAGCCATTATAGCTAGGAAGTGTGGGTGCACGGAATCGGGGTGCGGAGGCCCAGCGGACCCGCTAGAATACCGCGGTGGGGAATGGGGAAGGAGAAATGAGGACTTGGTGGGGGAGGGGAGGAACAACCTTCGCGGCCATTTTGTCCTCGCTCCACTTCCGTCTTCTCTTCCCGGGCTCCCGACCCCGGACCCCTCCCTTCAGGCCCTGCGTTCGGGCTGACCCTGTTCGGCGCGAGACAAGATCGCGGCTGGCGCTGCCACCATTGGTTGTTTCCAAGTGTGCCCGCCCCTCTTCCTCCTTCTCCTTCCGCCCTCTCCCGCCCGCGCTGGTTGCGGGCGCCTGCGTCGCGGCGGACGCTCCCCTCCCCCGCCTAGAGTGACGGAAGACTCCCGCGCGCGGGCTCTCTTGGCCCCACCCTCCCTTTCCCCGGGGCCGTTCGGAGAGCGGGGGCGAGCATGAAAGTTCCAGAACGCTGCGGTGGTGCGTCATCGCGAGGGGGGGTGGGACGGGGGCGGGTGGGGGTGAGGCTTGAGGAGCGAATACGGGTTCCTCATTGGAGCTTGCAGAAGTAGCCAAGCACTCATTGGTTGAGGTGACCATGATGAACAGCCGGCGGGGCGGGCCCCTTCTGGAAGGTTCTGAGACGGGGTATAAGAGACAGGGTGGCGGGCGGAAACCGGTCTCATTGAACGCGGTGGCAGCTTTTTGAGGTGTGTGCGGTTTCTTCGCGAGTAGATTCCGGCCTACACATACGGTAAGGCCTTTGCCCTTTAAGACCTTGGAAGTTTCTGGGGGAAGCGTGTATCCCAGACCGAGCGGGCTTGCTGCCAGGGGTCTCCAGACCAGTTCCCTGGAGCTTTCGGGAGAAGAGTAGCGATCGGTGAGGCAGCACTTTCTCTACAAGGGGTGGCCTTGGCGCTTGGCCGCGGCCTGCAGGTTAGGGGGGAGCCGAGTTTAGGTTGTTGCGGCCGACCCAGGGGCAGGGCGGCGCCCCTTTGCCCCGGTTAAATAAGACCTTGCGTGTTGGGGGATGTGCGCCGCATCCGCTGTGGCCTTGGTTAGGGGAATCGGAGCCAGGCCTTGACTCTGCTTTTTCCTGAGTCGTTTTGGCTTTAAGCCGCCCTTGGCAAGCACCCAGAATGGAGGTTCTTGGGGTAGTGGGGAAAGAAGGGCCGTTGCAACTCGTGGAGCCCCGTGCTTTGGCAACGGGGATTGCACCGGGGTTCCTGTCGGTGTTGGCCACGTGTTCAGCAACGTCGCAGACCTTCAGGGCAGATGGTTCCTTCAGGCAGGGGCGGGCTCTGCTAGGTTTGGCATAGCAACCTGTACTGCAGCATTACTGCTCTGATCTCCTGCGTGGTAAAGAAGTACTGAGCATAATCTTCTGTGTGGTTATAGCCATTCATAAGTGGTTTAAAGAAGGGAGAATAAACTGAAAATGCTTCACTGGATATTCAAAACACGTGTTTAATTTTATTCCCAGGAACCATGTCTAAGGGACCTGCAGTTGGCATTGATCTTGGCACCACCTACTCTTGTGTGGGTGTCTTCCAGCATGGAAAAGTGGAGATAATTGCCAATGATCAGGGGAACCGAACTACCCCAAGCTATGTCGCCTTTACTGACACAGAACGATTGATCGGCGATGCTGCAAAGAATCAGGTTGCGATGAACCCCACCAACACGGTTTTTGGTAAGTATGTAATTCTTTGAGTATTAAGGGCTAGGGAGCAGGGCATGTGAGGAATTCTGGCTTACTAAATGAGTCTTGTGCAGTAGGGAAATATTTTTCTTGGGATAGGGTATTTCTTAGGTATTAAGTAATCGTTTCATTTTAGGGTAAACTAGGATGTACTACTATTGCCTCCCTCATTTTGAGTTTGGCATTTGAGAAAGCATGGGGGGGTTTATATGTTGCTGGAAAATTAGGCCTTTGCAGAATGTTGAGGATTCACTCTGAACTTCACCATAGTCGAGGCCTGGGTTTTAATGTTAGAAGGTGAAATGCAATAAAATGCCTGATTGTTTTTTACAGATGCCAAACGTCTGATAGGGCGAAGGTTTGATGATGCTGTTGTGCAGTCTGATATGAAGCACTGGCCCTTTATGGTGGTGAATGATGCAGGCAGGCCCAAAGTCCAAGTAGAATACAAGGGAGAGACAAAAAGTTTCTATCCAGAAGAGGTATCATCTATGGTTCTGACAAAGATGAAGGAAATTGCAGAAGCCTACCTTGGGAAGGTGAGTTTTTTTTATACAATGTAGGAATTTAACAAGGGGAGGTTCCAGCTGGAATTTGAGTGCATGTTGAAATTAATTTGATTATGGGACGAAGTAACACAAATTGTACTGTAACTTGGTATTAATCTGGGTTTTTCTGTGTTTTGTTACTTTATTGTAGACCGTTACCAATGCTGTGGTCACAGTGCCAGCTTACTTCAATGATTCTCAGCGTCAGGCAACCAAAGATGCCGGAACCATTGCTGGTCTCAATGTACTTAGGATAATCAATGAGCCAACTGCTGCTGCTATTGCTTACGGTTTGGACAAGAAGGTTTGTCTTAGTTTTTGTCTTTGAATGCAAATCTAGATTTAGAATTTGTTATTAGCTGTCACGAATTTACATATAAGCTTATTTTTTAATGGCAGGTTGGAGCTGAAAGAAATGTGCTGATTTTTGATTTAGGAGGTGGCACTTTTGATGTGTCAATCCTCACTATTGAGGATGGAATCTTTGAGGTCAAATCTACAGCTGGAGACACCCACTTAGGTGGAGAAGACTTTGACAACAGAATGGTCAATCATTTTATCGCAGAGTTCAAGCGCAAGCATAAGAAGGACATCAGTGAGAACAAAAGAGCTGTCCGACGTCTCCGTACTGCATGTGAAAGAGCTAAGCGTACCCTCTCTTCCAGCACTCAGGCCAGTATTGAGATTGATTCTCTCTATGAAGGAATCGACTTCTATACCTCCATTACCCGTGCTCGATTTGAAGAGTTGAATGCTGACCTGTTCCGTGGCACCCTCGACCCTGTAGAAAAAGCTCTTCGAGATGCCAAACTAGACAAGTCACAGATCCATGATATTGTACTGGTGGGTGGTTCTACTCGTATCCCCAAGATTCAGAAGCTTCTGCAGGACTTCTTCAATGGAAAGGAACTGAATAAGAGCATCAACCCTGATGAGGCTGTTGCTTATGGTGCAGGTAATCTCAAATTTTAACCTTTATAATAGGCAGCCTTTGGGGCCCAAACCAACTCGCTGTGATGATGGATTCCAAAACCATTCGTAGTTTCCACCAGAAATTTTGTGTTGGCTAGTTCCTTCCTTGGATGTCTGAGCGAATGAAATGGGTTAATGAGGTAATTTGAATTTGCTTTTTTTCTTTCTAATTTTTAATATTTTCTTTAGCTGTCCAGGCAGCCATTTTGTCTGGAGACAAGTCTGAAAACGTTCAAGATTTGCTGCTGTTGGATGTCACTCCTCTTTCCCTTGGTATTGAAACTGCTGGTGGAGTCATGACTGTCCTCATCAAGCGCAATACCACCATTCCTACCAAGCAGACACAGACCTTCACAACTTACTCTGACAACCAGCCTGGTGTGCTCATTCAGGTAGGTGTTGTTTATTAACACTTGTAAAACCAAGAAAATCTTGTTCGCTGTGATGATGGATTCCAAAACCATTCGTAGTTTCCACCAGAACAATTTTGTGTTGGCCAGTTCCTTCCTTGGATGTCTGAGCGACTGACTATTCATTCCCAACGAGTTCATAGCACAGAAATTTTAAGTCTTAATAGTGATTAATTTCTGTTATTGTTTACCCCAAGGTATATGAAGGTGAGCGTGCCATGACCAAGGATAACAACCTACTTGGCAAGTTTGAACTCACAGGCATACCCCCTGCACCCCGTGGTGTTCCTCAGATTGAAGTCACATTTGATATTGATGCCAATGGCATCCTGAATGTTTCTGCTGTAGACAAGAGTACAGGAAAAGAAAACAAGATTACCATCACTAACGACAAAGGTTAGTCTGAAAAATAAGGCTCTCTTGCCTGGTCTTGATTCATTTGAAGTGTCCCCCACTGTAGGCCAAGGGAAAAGTTGTAACAGGGACCTACTGAAGATTTTTAATTTTCTAGGTCGTTTGAGCAAGGAAGACATTGAGCGCATGGTCCAGGAAGCTGAGAAGTACAAAGCTGAAGATGAAAAGCAGAGGGACAAGGTGTCATCCAAGAATTCGCTCGAGTCCTATGCATTCAACATGAAAGCAACTGTTGAAGATGAGAAACTTCAAGGAAAGATAAATGATGAGGACAAACAGAAGATTCTTGACAAATGTAATGAAATCATCAACTGGCTGGATAAGAACCAGGTAGGTAAATTTCTGCTAAGCAGTAAAGAGATGCATAGATTCTGGGTTGGCATAACGGTCACAGTGATGAAAGGTCCAAACATTCGCAGTTTCCACCAGAATTTGACATGTAGGCAGTTTACCTTCCTTGGATGTCTGAGTGACCCAAGACTAAGACCTAGTGTGATGTGCTTTTTTTCTCACTAGCCCTGGGCTCCATGAATATATTAGGTTGCATTATAAGTAAACTTACAATGGTTATTTTTTTTCCCTTCAGACTGCAGAGAAGGAAGAATTTGAACATCAGCAGAAAGAGCTGGAGAAAGTCTGCAACCCCATCATTACCAAGCTGTACCAGAGTGCAGGAGGCATGCCAGGAGGAATGCCTGGGGGATTCCCTGGTGGGGGAGCTCCTCCCTCTGGTGGTGCTTCCTCTGGGCCCACCATTGAAGAAGTTGATTAAGCCAGCCCAAGTACAGTTGTAGCATTGTTCCACAGTAAAACATGGAAGGGCCCAAATTTGTAGCAAATTCTGTGGCAGTTGTAAAGTTGCTGCTATAGTAAATTACTGGGCATTCTCAATACTTGAATATGGAACATGTACACAGGGAAAGGAAGTAACATTGCACTTTATAAACACTGTATTGTAAGTGGAAAATGCAATGTCTTAAATAAAACTGTATTTAAAAATTGGCACCATATAGTTGTCTCTTATTAGCTTCTGGTAAGGCCTTAGAGTTAA